GGGAATGGATATCGTAGGTCCACTTCCACAAGCAAAAAGTCAGGTAAAGTTTCTACTTGTACTTACAGATTATTTCACTAATCTATATCGTAGGTCATTATTTTCATAATTGTAACATCCATCTATAGCTGCCGTTACATTTTTTTTTAATGGCTTTACAGTTACTTCTCAGTCATATAACCCTCAATAAAGAGGGGTAAGACTGTAAGTACAATGTGTGTACTTTTTAAAAATAAGATTAAAAGGAAAAAATGAAAGCAAAAGTCGAAAAAAGGAGAAAATAGAATCCCTACACACAACGAAAGATGCCACGTGACCTTTCTCATTCCCAACTTTATATATAGATGTATTTAACCTTAAAACACAGAATATTGAGCTGCCCTACATACAAGAAAATGAAGTCAGTAAGCAGATATTGACAAAACACCAAGGTGACTCTAAACTGCACAATCGAGCATTACAAACTAAAAGCAAAGTGTACTAAACTGTCTTGTGTTGCTTAGCATGTGATACTTAATTGAGTTCTAGTCAATTACGTTAATAGCTAATAGTATATACTGTGTGGGTGCTAACCATATAGATTCATTTTAGCATCATTGTATTGGGAAAAAACTGAGTTTATATTAAAGATGACGTGGCATGACACGTGGTTTGGTTAAATGGTCAAAGCGCAATAATTGACTAAGAGGCACGGATGGAGACAGCCACGGGAAGAGGAATTTAAATAGGCACGAGACGAAGTGCAGATACGAGTCTCGTACCAATTCAAGTCATTTAAAGCCAACGGATTAGAAGGCATTAAAGACAAAGATCTGATGACAGAAAGGAGTCCAAATTCATTATTAAATACCTGATACGTTAGAAAATTGGTATTTAATAGGAATGATTGTATAACGGCTTATTTAATATCATTTATTACTCATAATTATATCATTAAAGCTGAGGCTTCATTCCTTTACCTAGAATTACCTATAAAAGGAAGAAGTATCATCATTTGTAAGGACACGGAATACTATTGGGAACTTATTGAAATACAAAACTATTTGCTGTTTTACCATCATTCTCAAAAGTATTTTATTTTCGTCTCCTGATTATCAGTAACCGGAATTTCTTTTTAGCTTTGACCAAAGACTCAGATTTTTGGTTAAACAATCACCACATGCATCCAGGCTTCCAGCAAAGAGAGAGTAAAACCTGTCAAATAAAACAAAATAATACAGACTCAATGAATCATAATTCTCAAGCTCTATAGTTCAGTTCAATAATCTGAAATTTTTCCCAAAAATTGGATAACTAAACATACTAGTATCTGTCTTCCTTACATACATATAGCATGATTAATTCTCAAAGAGAGTCCTAGCTAGCATCTGCAAAGGTATCATGAACAAAGGAGCAAATAAACTAGCATGATTCACCAAAAGCTGAATCTTAGCCAACTTAACACCTGAAATCAACTAACTATTCAAGTTCTCCAAAAGTTGTAGAATGAAAACAATTTCCATACTTATCATTTTACCAGCTTCATCAGAGTAAAAGCCTTCCAAATGCCAACATACATGATATACCAAAAATTGAATCTTTGTATAAGCCAAATCTGGTATTTATCAGAGACACAGTGACAATTTAAGTATTCTAACCATGTAATTTCCACTTTCTAATTCAAATAAATAGATTCACAACCAACCCCATTACAAAATTATAATCGAGCTAAAACCAGCATCTGTTAAAGAATATAGAAAAAAACTCTAGCAACTCAAATATAAAAGGAAATTCAGCTTGCCCAAAATAAACACACAAATTCAGCTTGCCCAAAATAAACACATAACAGTAGAAATTTAATCAACATTAAGATCATCCAGTAAGGAGATAATTCACTAGGACCAAATTCCACTTCCATTAACCAACATCAGCAGCCAATAACAAACAGATTAAAGCCATATCTCCATTACACTTTATCTTTTTCTTTTTTTCTTAAAAAAACAGCAAAATCCTAAAGGAAGTGCTAATAGGCGTCAAATCGACTAATACTTCTGTTGAGTTCTCAGACAGGGCTGAGAAGCTGAGAGAGGGAGGGCTTAGGTTCAGAGTTCATGCCGAGGATGATGACAAGTGGAATGAAGCCGTAATGGGTAATAACTTTGGCCTTCTTCGCCGTCCACGTGCCCCACTCCTTTACGAACTTGGACAGTGCCGCCACAGCTCCGTCGTCTTCATCGGCGGCTGCAGCCTTCTTCGTGTTCTTTCCTTTGGACTTTAGCATTACCTTGGATGTCATTTTTTGTACAGAACTGAGGCTGACGTCTGAACCAGCTCTTTGGTCTGGTGGCCTCCTAAAGTACTTTATTTTGTTTGCCCTCTGCTAACGTAAAAGCCCTAGAAGCAGTGATGACTGATTTTGCTATTTAGGGTCACCGCCACTTATAGTTTCCAAAATGTAAATTTGGCCCAACTTCTTCAATTCGAAGCAAAGAGGTAATGGCTAATTTGTAGTAAAAAGAAAGAGCACACATTTAGTATAATCAAACGACCTGTGGTAACCATTTCTTTTTTACTCAGCACCATGTGTTATTGCACATTTTTAAAATTTGGAATAACATTATATTAAAATTGTTCTAGTGTTTACAAAAGTCTTTTAGTTTGAATCAAATCTAACAAGTTAGAAAATCAGGGGATCGGAAGGAGTACAAAGTCAAAATATAATGGTATTTGAAGAAGTTGAATCTCATTGGTCTCAGGGGCATTACTGTTTACCGGGACATTCTTAACTACGTAAAACATGAGCAAAAGAACGAAAAAACAAGGGGGCATTTGCATCTATGCCTCCTTTTTGTGTTACGTTTTAACTTATGTCCGTTTTATAAAAAAAATTACAAGCGTATCCATTTTTTCGCATAACTTCAGCATGTGGGGCTGAAGTAGCAAAGACAATCACGCAAAACTTCAGCATTCTAGTAGTTGGGCCTGAAGTTCAGCTCTAGAGGTGAAGTTTTTGTTTTGTAACTTTAGAGGCTCTGGGAAGCAAGAAAGTGAATTGTTTCAATTAAAATAACTTTCTGTTTACAAATATTACCTAAAAATTTACTTTGATTCAGCAATCATGTACTACATGAACAATTCCAGCTCCATCTTCTCTCACTATGAGTAATTGAAAATGGAAAGTATGACTAGACTATCATAATTTGCTATAACCTTTTCAATACAGAGGTTCAAAAAGATATTAGGTCATTCTGGGACGCTTTGTAATAGCAAATAGTTAAATTTTTTTGCATTATTAGGTCAGTTGAAAGAATATTAATTGAGACAAAACGAAGAAGAAATAATCTGCACCAACAACAGCAGAAGAAAGAAGAAGAAAACGAAGGGGGAGAAGGAGGAGGAGAAAGGGGGCTGAAGTTATTTAAAAAGTGGGTACAAGTTAAAAGTTTTAAAAAAATGGGTATAGGTTAAATGGGGGCGACCAAATAGGGCGCCCCGTGCAATTTTTACAAAAACAAGGTACTACGTAGCTGATTTTAAAAGCACTATTTAAACTTTAGCCAGTATCTAAAAGTATAGTTTATAGCCTGTTTGCCCAAACTTCTAAAATCAGCTTATTTTGATAAATGCTTTTTTCAAAAGTACTTTTTAAAAAGTGATTTTGGTGAGAAGTAGTTTGTGTTTGACTAATTAATTTGAAAAGCACTTTTGAGCAGTAATTAGTGTTTGACCAAGCTTTTGAAAACTCCTTCTAAGTGTATTTTTCTCAAAAGCGCTTCTCAGAAAAGTGCTTTTGAAGATAAACTATTTTTTCTGCTTCTCAAAAATTGTTTCTGCTTCTCCTAAAAAACATTTTTTTTCCTTCTAAAAGTTTGGCCAAATACTTCAATTTTTGGCCAAACGTACTTTTGACCCAAAAAAAAGCTTGGCCAAACAGGCTATTAGTCTTACTCCTTCCTTTTCTACTTCGGACTTTCGGGCCTGAAATTTTGAAGAGAAATTTTTATAAAACACTATCTTTTAGTGGTAATTATCTATCTATAGATATCATTTGTTATATTACGGATTGTAGATATGTTTTCTGTTGTTATAAGATGTATTTGATGTATTTAAGCTACTGTATTCATGAATACAGTAGCAAAATTCGGCGCGAAATATGGGGCTACAGCTGGATAGACGAATGTATGTGGGTATATGCGACTGTATTCGACTGTATTCGACTGTATGTCGTAATGTAAACTGCGCAATTTCAGGTCTATTCAGATTTTTTTAAACGGAAAGTGTATAAATTAACATAATAGATCCTTAATATAACTCAACTAACCCAATTGCATCGCCCATAATCGTTTTTTCCGCGAATAATCTACATTTTCCACCCTAAAATGTTATATACATCAAAACATTGCATTCGCCGATAATCTGTTTTTTCCTTTTTTTTTCTTCTTTTCGTGTGTGCTTCTGTGTTCAACAAATAAAACAGAGAATTGATACATTCATATACAGAAATTGGTCAACCAATGATACTGTAACAACTAAAATTTCATTCCTGAAAATGATAATCAAGACAAGAAATATAGCGACAAAAAAAGTATTTGTATTTCAATAATTTACGCGGGTTACAATCTTTGAACAATCTTAAGTTTAAAAGATGTAATCCTCTGATTCTTCTCCTCACGACCGTCAATTCGAGAGTTTCGCTTGTTCTTGAATTGATGGACCACTTGTTGTTGGGATTTGACCACGAATGCAAAGCTAGGCTTTGATCACAAACGTGGAGGATGGAAAACTTGCGGCTCACCCCTTAGAGACGACTACTTCTTGCTATGCGGAAGACTTGTGAATCACCATTGTGGAGGAGAGCTTCAATATGTATCTTTTTTTCTTGTCCCTTTAGCCTTATGGAGACCCCCTATTTATAGTTGGAGGGGAGGTAACTTGTGATAAACACATATCTTTTTCCTCCAATTTGATTGGCCAACTTGAGTCATCAAACCTATCACTAAAGCTATGTGATAAGCTTGCACATAATGGTTGAACCATGTCATTTGAATAGTTGGCGATATTTGATTGGTCCTTACATTTGACTTGGCATGCTACATCACTTATGCGCGTGACATGATTTTAGTGGCCCTTGATTTGACTTGGTGTGCCATGTCATTTGGCACATGGCATGGATTTTGGGCTTATCATTTGAAGTCCAACAAGATGAACTAGCCCAATTAACTCAGGCTCTTAATTAAATCCATATACGCATATTGGATTTAAATAATAAATTCAATTATTCTAGCCCGTAATCATTGTTTGGGCTGACACGTCTTTGAATTTATCATGTGGTCCAAATAATTTAATGGACTTAAACTCAAATAAAATTCAATCGTCTACAAATGCCCCTACTTCAAGTTGCGTCGGTTTGTAGACTTGTCAAACTTTAACTTCGAGGCTTGAAGTACTAATATTAACAAACTTTTATTTTGTTTGAACCTCAAACTTGACTCCTTGTAAGCCCTTTCCTATTTTGGAAATACAACCTTGTGAGTTTACAACATATAGTATTTGGATCGAATTGATTTGGCATTTCGAATTCGCCTTGCGATATTCTAGCTCAATAACTTCAGATTTGAGTCCATCAATACTATAGGAAGTCGTTCTCTACTTGAAATTGAAAAATGGAAAGCCACACCCTTTTTATTTTTTAAAAAAAAAACTTTCAATTGGTATTCCACTTGCTCGGTTTTCCTGTCTAGATATTTTAGGACTCATACCAACGAAAACTCCCTTTTCTTTTAGAAACAAGAGAGAGCAGTATTTTTTTTCCAATTTGTCTTCTTTTAGGACCCAACTTTTCTTGTCCAGAAATTTTAGGATATAAACTCCTCAATCCTGAAATTTGAGTTCTTCTCAAAGAGTGACAGCTCAATGAAACCATGTTGGGAACGAATCAAACACTACCTTCGGTGGTCTATATAAGGATTCATTCCGATGCATTATATTCACACCAGCTCTTTCGAGTCTTTCCTTCCTTTATGTAAGTCCTCATACACTTGTTTTGGTCTGGTTTGCCTCTTATCATGGTGCTTAATAGAACAAACGTCTTCGATCATTCCAACTTCTGTTGTGGCGCTATGGACTTAACCTTGCTTTCTTTACATTTTTCGGTTGATCATATAATTTATTATGCTTAGATGAAGCAAAGCTTGCAACTAATGTTGTTCTTCCCTTATAGTCTTTGTCACAGAAGTTTCCCGGCAGCTTGGAGAATTTGCAGGAGAAAATTCATAACTTGTTGTAGGAGCACCTGAATCTTAAACGGTTTGTGGAGATGGAACGCAGACTCGCGGCGCCTTGACATATCCGAAAATCACGATCATATAGCTTGTAGATTTGTTCAGGTAATCTCTTCAAAATCAGGTTCTTAATTCTAATTTGCTGATGGTTTTAGATTCGCGCGTCGTCACGAGAAACTTAATAACTTTTTGAGGGATACCGAAATCACGAACGGTTTGTGGCGTTAGAAAGTAGACTCGTGGAGCTTCGACATATCTGAAAAGCACGACCATAAAGCTAATAGATTTATCCAGGTAATATTCTGAAATTCAGAGTTGAGATCCTGCTATATTACGTCTCCAAATTTGCGCGCTCACTAGATAGCTTGTATCTTGACGTAGGCCCAAAATCAAGCACTTCTTGATCCTTTGAAAACTAAACTTCAGAGACTACTTTTACACCAAATACTCGGACTTCAATTCATTGTGTGCTGGTTTCTATGATTTTTTTTAAAGTTAGTTGCAGGATCTGATTTTTCTGTTTCAGTTTTGGACATGCTTCACGAATTTTAATCTTCTTCCTCAATTCCTTTCGTGCAGCGTATACAATCTTGACTTCCGGCAATCAAGATGCAATTTCGTGACTATAATAAGCCGCACCCTCATCTTGAAATCACAAGCGACGAGCAAAATCAGTCTGATAAAGTTCTCACCTTGGAAGTTCATCCTCCAGTGATCGGTTCCTTCCCTCTTGTTAGAAAGCTGCCTACCGCATATCTTCATCTTACAGAATGGTGGACAAGGGAGGCCAAAGATGTTATGGGCGAATTTTCGGGCGAGGTCACCAACATGAAGGTCCCTATTTTGAAGTCCGCAACTCATCGAGAAGTTGCGCCGTCTGAATTTTCTTATTACGATGGATGCTTCCACACTTGGAATGTTCCCCTTCTAGCTTTGGCAAGGTTCGCTACACACCCGGCTATTGGGAGTGGGTAGAAGATGTTCTCCCCCGCCAAAATTTTTTTTTGGAAGATCTGAGGGTCTACGATGCCATATATGCTTCATTGTTTACGTACGATTATAACAACAACGTGCTTCAGGCCTTTTGTGAGCTTTGGCGTCCTTCCACCAACACATTTGCTACCTTCATTGGAGAATTATCT